GACGTCCACGACCACGTCCACGTCCACGTCCACGTCCACGTCCACATCCACATCCACGACCACGTCCACGTCCACATCCACAACCACGTCCACGATCCACGTCCACGTCCAGTCCACGTCCACGTCCAAGTCCACGTCCACGTCAAAATCCACGTCCACGTCCACGTCCCGTCCACGTCCACGTCCACGTCCACGTCTAGTCCCGTCCACGTCCACGTCGACCCACGTCCACGTCCAGGTCTACGTCCACTCCACGTCAAGTCCACGTCCACGTCCACGTCCACGACCACGTCCACGACCACGTCCACGTCCACATCCACGACCACGTCCACGACCACGTCCACGACCACGTCCACGTCCACGTCCACGTCCACGTCCACGTCCACGTCCACGTCCACGACCACGTCCACGTCCACGTCCACGTCCACGTCCACGACCACGTCCACGTCCACGTCCACGTCCACGTCCACGTCCACGTCCACGACCACGTCCACGACCACGTCCACGTCCACGTCCACGTCCACGTCCACGTCCACGTCCACCTCCACGACCACGACCACGTCCACGTCCACGTCCACGTCCACGTCCACGTCCACGACCACGTCCAAGTCCACGTCCACGTCCACGTCCACGTCCACGTCCAGGTCCACAACCACGTCCACGTCCACGTCCACGTCCACGACCACGTCCACGTCCAAGTCCACGTCCACGTCCACGTCCACGTCCACGTCCAAGTCCACGTCCACGTCCACGTCCACGTCCACGTCCACGACCAAGTCCACCTCCAGGTCCACGTCCACGTCCACGTCCACGACCACGTCCACGTCCACGACCACGTCCACGTACGTCCACGTCCACGTACGTCCACGTCCACGTCCACGTCCACGTCCACGTCCACGACCACGTCCACGTCCACGACCACGTCCACGTCCACGTCCACGTCCACGTCACCACGTCCACGTCCACGTCCACGTCCACGTCACCACGTCCACGTCCACGACCACGTCCACGACCACGTCCACGTCCACGTCCACGTCCACGACCACGTCCAGGTCCACGTCCACGTCCACGTCCACGTCCACGTCCACGTCCAGGTCCACGTCCACGTCCACGTCCACGTCCACGTCCACGTCCAGGTCCACGTCCACGTCCACGTCCAAGTCCACGTCCACGTCCACGTCCACGTCCACGACCACCTCCAAGTCCACCTCCACGTCCACGTCCACGTCCACGACCACGTCCACGTCCACGACCACGTCCACGTCCACGTCCACGTCCAAGACCACGTCCACGTCCAACTCCACGTCCACGTCCAGTCCACATCAACGTCCACGTCCAGTTTACGTCCAAGTCCACGTCCAAGTCCACGTCCACGTCCACGTCCACGTCCACATCAACGTCCACGTCCAGTTTACGTCCAAGTCCACGTCCAAGTCCACGTCCACGTCCACGTCCACGTCCAACTCCACTTCCACGTCCAAGATCACGACCACGTCCACGTTCACAACCACCTCCAGTCCACGTGCATGTCCACGTCCACGTCCACGACCACGTCCACGTCCACGTCCAAGTCTAAGTCCACGTCCACGTCCACGACCACGTCCACGACCACGTCCAAGTTCACGTCCACGTCCACGACCACGTCCACGTCCACGTCCAAGTCCACGTCCACGTCCACGTCCACGTCCAAGTCCACGTCCACGTCCACGTCCAAGTCCAAGTCCAAGTCCAAGTCCACGTCCACCTCCACGACCACGTCCACGTCCCCGTCCAAGTCCACGTCCACGTCCACGTCCACGTCCACGTCCAAGTCCACGTCGAAGTCCACGACCACGTCCACGACCACGTCCACGTCCACGTCCACGTCCACGACCACCTCCAATTCCACGACCACCTCCACGTCCATGTCCACGTCCACGTCCACGACCAGGTCCACGTCCACGTCCACGTCCACGTCAAGGTCCACGTCCACGTCCACGTCCACGTCCAGGTCTACGTCCAGGTCCACGTCCACGTCCACGTCACGACCACGTCCACATCCACGTCCACGTCACGACCACGTCCACGTCCACGTCCACGTCCACGTCAAAGTCCACGTCCACGTCACGACCACGTCCACATCCACGTCCACGTCACGACCACGTCCACGTCCACGTCCACGTCCACGTCCACGTCCACGTCAAAGTCCACGTCCACGTTCACGTCCACGTCCACGACCAGGTCCACGTCCACGACCACGTCCACGTCCACGTCCAGGTCCACGTCCACGACCACGTCCACGTCCACGTCCAAGTCCAAGTCCAAGTCCAAGTCCACGTCCACCTCCACGACCACGTCCACGTCCCCGTCCAAGTCCACGTCCACGTCCACGTCCACGTCCACGTCCAAGTCCACGTCGAAGTCCACGACCACGTCCACGACCACGTCCACGTCCACGTCCACGTCCACGACCACCTCCAATTCCACGACCACCTCCACGTCCATGTCCACGTCCACGTCCACGACCAGGTCCACGTCCACGTCCACGTCCACGTCAAGGTCCACGTCCACGTCCACGTCCACGTCCAGGTCTACGTCCAGGTCCACGTCCACGTCCACGTCACGACCACGTCCACATCCACGTCCACGTCACGACCACGTCCACGTCCACGTCCACGTCCACGTCAAAGTCCACGTCCACGTCACGACCACGTCCACATCCACGTCCACGTCACGACCACGTCCACGTCCACGTCCACGTCCACGTCCACGTCCACGTCAAAGTCCACGTCCACGTTCACGTCCACGTCCACGACCAGGTCCACGTCCACGACCACGTCCACGTCCACGTCCAGGTCCACGTCCACGACCACGTCCACGTCCACGTCCACGTCCAGGTCCACGTCCAGGTCCACGTCCACCTCCACGACCACGTCCACGTCCACGACCACGTCCACGTCCACGACCACGTCCACGTCCACGTCCACGTCCACGTCCAGGTCAACGTGCAGGTCCACGTCCACGTCCACGTCCACGTCCAAGTCCACGTCCACGTCCACGTCCACGTCCACCTCCACGACCACGTCCACGTCCACGTCCACGACCACCTCCAAGTCCACGTCCACGTCCACGTCCACGTCCACGTCCACGTCCAAGTCCACGTCCACGTCCACGACCACGTCCACGTCCACGTCCACGTCCACGACCACGTCCACGTCCAAGTCCACGTCCACCTCCACGACCACGTCCACGTCCACGTCCACGTCCACGACCAGGTCCACGTCCACGTCCACGTCCACGTCCACGTCCACGTCCGAGTCCACGTCCACGTCCACGTCCACGACGAGGTCCACGTCCACGACCACGTCCACGTCCACGTCCAGGTCCAGGTCCACATCCACGACCACGCCCACGTCCACGTCCACGTCCACGTCCACGTCCAGGTCCACGTCCACGTCCACGTCCACGTCCACGACCACGTCCACGTCCACGTCCACGTCCACGTCCACGTCCACGACCACATCCACCTCCACGACCACGTCCACGTCCACATCCACAACCACGTCCACGATCACGTCCACGTCCAGTCCACGTCCACGTCCAAGTCCACGTCCACGTCAAAATCCACGTCCACGTCAACGTCCCGTCCACGTCCACGTCCACGTCCACGTCCACGTCTAGTCCACGTCCACGTCCACGGCGACCACGTCCACGTCCAGGTCCACATCCACAACCACGTCCACGTCCACGTCCACGACCACGTCCACGTCCACATCCACGTCCACGTCCACGTCCACGTCCACGTCCACGTCCACGTCCACGTCCACGTCCACGTCCACGTCCACGACCACGTCCACGACCACGTCCACGTCCACGTCCACGTCCACGTCCACGTCCACGACCAAGTCCACCTCCAGGTCCACGTCCACGTCCACGTCCACGACCACGTCCACGTCCACGACCACGTCCACGTACGTCCACGTCCACGTCCACGTCCACCTCCACGTCCACGACCACGTCCACGTCCACGTCCACGTCCACGTCCACGACCACGTCCACGTCCACGACCACGTCCACGTCCACGTCCACGACCACGTCCACGTCCACGTCCACGTCCACGACCACGTCCAGGTCCACGTCCACGTCCACGACCACGTCCACGTCCACGACCACGTCCACGTCCACGTCCACGTCCACGTCACCACGTCCACGTCCACGACCACGTCCACGACCACGTCCACGTCCACGTCCACGTCCACGACCACGTCCAGGTCCACGTCCACGTCCACGTCCACGTCCACGTCCAGGTCCACGTCCACGTCCACGTCCACGTCCACGTCCAGGTCCACGTCCACGTCCACGTCCAAGTCCACGTCCACGTCCACGTCCACGTCCACGTCCACGACCACCTCCAAGTCCACCTCCACGTCCACGTCCACGTCCACGACCACGTCCACGTCCACGACCACGTCCACGTCCACGTCCACGTCCAAGACCACGTCCACGTCCAACTCCACGTCCACGTCCAGTCCACATCAACGTCCACGTCCAGTTTACGTCCAAGTCCACGTCCAAGTCCACGTCCACGTCCACGTCCACATCAACGTCCACGTCCAGTTTACGTCCAAGTCCACGTCCAAGTCCACGTCCACGTCCACGTCCACGTCCACGTCCAACTCCACTTCCACGTCCAAGATCACGACCACGTCCACGTTCACAACCACCTCCAGTCCACGTCCATGTCCACGTCCACGTCCACGACCACGTCCACGTCCACGTCCAAGTCTAAGTCCACGTCCACGTCCACGACCACGTCCACGACCACGTCCAAGTTCACGTCCACGTCCACGACCACGTCCACGTCCACGTCCACGTCCACGTCCACGTCCACGTCCACGTCCACGTCCACGTCCAGGTCCACGTCCACGTCCACGTCCAAGTCCACGTCCACGTCCACGTCCACGTCCACGACCACCTCCAAGTCCACCTCCACGTCCACGTCCACCTCCACGTCCACGTCCACGACCACGTCCAGGTCCACGTCCACGTCCACGTCCACGTCCACGTCCAGGTCCACGTCCACGTCCACGTCCACGTCCACGTCCAGGTCCACGTCCACGTCCACGTCCAAGTCCACGTCCACGTCCACGTCCACGTCCACGACCACCTCCAAGTCCACCTCCACGTCCACGTCCACGTCCACGACCACGTCCACGTCCACGACCACGTCCACGTCCACGTCCACGTCCAAGACCACGTCCACGTCCAACTCCACGTCCACGTCCAGTCCACATCAACGTCCACGTCCAGTTTACGTCCAAGTCCACGTCCAAGTCCACGTCCACGTCCACGTCCACATCAACGTCCACGTCCAGTTTACGTCCAAGTCCACGTCCAAGTCCACGTCCACGTCCACGTCCACGTCCACGTCCAACTCCACTTCCACGTCCAAGATCACGACCACGTCCACGTTCACAACCACCTCCAGTCCACGTCCATGTCCACGTCCACGTCCACGACCACGTCCACGTCCACGTCCAAGTCTAAGTTCACGTCCACGTCCACGACCACGTCCACGACCACGTCCAAGTTCACGTCCACGTCCACGACCACGTCCACTTCCACGTCCAAGTCCACGTCCACGTCCACGTCCACGTCCACGTCCAGGTCCACGTCCACGTCCACGTCCAAGTCCACGTCCACGTCCACGTCCACGTCCACGACCACCTCCAAGTCCACCTCCACGTCCACGTCCACGTCCACGACCACGTCCACGTCCACGACCACGTCCACGTCCACGTCCACGTCCACGTCCAAGACCACGTCCACGTCCAACTCCACGTCCACGTCCAGTCCACATCAACGTCCACGTCCAGTTTACGTCCAAGTCCACGTCCAAGTCCACGTCCACGTCCACGTCCACATCAACGTCCACGTCCAGTTTACGTCCAAGTCCACGTCCAAGTCCACGTCCACGTCCACGTCCACGTCCACGTCCAACTCCACTTCCACGTCCAAGATCACGACCACGTCCACGTTCACAACCACCTCCAGTCCACGTCCATGTCCACGTCCACGTCCACGACCACGTCCACGTCCACGTCCAAGTCTAAGTCCACGTCCACGTCCACGACCACGTCCACGACCACGTCCAAGTTCACGTCCACGTCCACGACCACGTCCACGTCCACGTCCACGTCCAAGTCCACGTCCACGTCCACGTCCACGTCCAAGTCCACGTCCACGTCCACGTCCAAGTCCAAGTCCAAGTCCAAGCCCACGTCCACCTCCACGACCACGTCCACGTCCCCGTCCAAGTCCACATCCACGTCCACGTCCACGTCCACGTCCAAGTCCACGTCCAAGTCCACGACCACGTCCACGACCACGTCCACGTCCACGTCCACGTCCACGTCCACGACCACCTCCAAGTCCACGACCACCTCCACGTCCACGTCGAAGTCTACGACCACGTCCACGACCACGTCCACGTCCACGTCCACGTCCACGTCCACGTCCACGACCACCTCCAATTCCACGACCACCTCCACGTCCATGTCCACGTCCACGTCCACGACCAGGTCCACGTCCACGTCCACGTCCACGTCAAGGTCCACGTCCACGTCCACGTCCAGGTCTACGTCCAGGTCCACGTCCACGTCCACGTCACGACCACGTCCACGTCCACGTCCACGTCACGACCACGTCCACGTCCACGTCCACGTCCACGACCACGTCCACGTCAAAATCCACGTCCACGTTCACGTCCACGTCCACGACCAAGTCCACGTCCACGACCACGTCCACGTCCACGTCCACGTCCACGACCACGTCCACGTCCATGTCCACGTCCAGGTCCACGTCCAGGTCCACGTCCACATCCACGACCACGTCCACGTCCACGACCACGTCCACGTCCACGACCACGTCCACGTCCACGTCCACGTCCACGTCCACGTCCACGTCAACGTGCAGGTCCACGTCCACGTCCACGTCCACGTCCACGTCCACGTCCACGTCCACGTCCAGGTCAACGTGCAGGTCCACGTCCACGTCCACGTCCACGTCCAAGTCCACGTCCACGTCCACGTCCACGTCCACCTCCACGACCACGTCCACGTCCACGTCCACGTCCACGACCACCTCCAAGTCCACGTCCACGTCCACGTCCACGTCCACGTCCACGTCCAAGTCCACGTCCACGTCCACGACCACGTCCACGTCACGACCACGTCCACGTCCACGTCCACGTCCACGTCCACGTCCAAGTCCACGTCCACCTCCACGACCACGTCCACGTCCACGTCCACGTCCACGACCAGGTCCACGTCCACGTCCACGTCCACGTCCACGTCCACGTCCACGACCACGTCCACGTCCACGTCCACGTCCACGTCCACGTCCACGTCCACGTCCAGGTCCAGGTCCACGTCCACGACCACGCCCACGTCCACGTCCACGTCCACGTCCAGGTCCACGTCGACGTCCACGTCCACGTCCACGTCCACGTCCACGTCCACGTCCACGTCCACGTCCACGTCCACGTCCAGGTCCAGGTCCAGGTCCACGACCACGCCCACGTCCACGTCCACGTCCACGTCCACGTCCAGGTCCACGTCGACGTCCACGTCCACGTCCACGTCCACGACCACGTCCACGTCCACGTCCACGTCCACGTCCACGTCCACGACCACATCCACCTCCACGACCACGTCCACGTCCACATCCACAACCACGTCCACGATCACGTCCACGTCCAGTCCACGTCCACGTCCAAGTCCACGTCCACGTCAAAATCCACGTCCACGTCCACGTCTCGTCCACGTCCACGTCCACGTCCACGTCTAGTCCACGTCCACGTCCACGGCGACCACGTCCACGTCCAGGTCTACGTCCACGTCCACGTCTAAGTCCAAGTCCACGTCCACGTCCACGACCACGTCCACGACCACGTCTACGTCCACGTCCACGACCACGTCCACGACCACGTCCACGACCACGTCCACGTCCACGTCCACGTCCACGACCACGTCCACGTCCACGTCCACGTCCACGACCACGTCCACGTCCACGTCCACGTCCACGTCCACGTCCACGACCACGTCCACGTCCACGTCCACGTCCACGTCCACGTCCACGACCACGTCCACGACCACGTCCACGTCCACGTCCACGTCCACGTCCACCTCCACGACCACCTCCACGACCACGTCCACGTCCACGTCCACGTCCACGACCACGTCCAAGTCCACGTCCACGTCCACGTCCAGGTCCACGACCACGTCCACGTCCACGTCCAAGTCCACGACCACGTCCACGTCCAAGTCCACGTCCACGTCCACGTCCACGTCCACGTCCACGTCCACGTCCAAGTCCACGTCCACGTCCACGTCCACGTCCACGTCCACGACCAAGTCCACCTCCAGGTCCACGTCCACGTCCACGTCCACGACCACGTCCACGTCCACGACCACGTCCACGTACGTCCACGTCCACGTCCACGTCCACCTCCACGTCCACGACCACGTCCACGTCCACGTCCACGTCCACGTCCACGACCACGTCCACGTCCACGACCACGTCCACGTCCACGTCCACGTCCACGTCCACGTCCACGTCCACGTCCACGTCCACGTCCACGACCACGTCCAGGTCCACGTCCACGTCCACGACCACGTCCACGTCCACGACCACGACCACGTCCACGTCCACGTCCACGTCACCACGTCCACGTCCACGACCACGTCCACGACCACGTCCACGTCCACGTCCACGTCCACGACCACGTCCAGGTCCACGTCCACGTCCACGTCCACGTCCACGTCCACGTCCACGTCCACGTCCACGTCCACGTCCACGTCCACGTCCAAGTCCACGTCCACGTCCACGTCCACGTCCACGACCACCTCCAAGTCCACCTCCACGTCCACGTCCACGTCCACGACCACGTCCACGTCCACGACCACGTCCACGTCCACGTCTACGTCCAAGACCACGTCCACGTCCAACTCCACGTCCACGTCCAGTCCACATCAACGTCCACGTCCAGTTTACGTCCAAGTCCACGTCCAAGTCCACGTCCACGTCCACATCCACGTCCACATCAACGTCCACGTCCAGTTTACGTCCAAGTCCACGTCCAAGTCCACGTCCACGTCCACGTCCACGTCCACGTCCAACTCCACTTCCACGTCCAAGATCACGACCACGTCCACGTTCACAACCACCTCCAGTCCACGTCCATGTCCACGTCCACGTCCACGACCACGTCCACGTCCACGTCCAAGTCTAAGTCCACGTCCACGTCCACGACCACGTCCACGACCACGTCCAAGTTCACGTCCACGTCCACGACCACGTCCACGTCCACGTCCACGTCCAAGTCCACGTCCACGTCCACGTCCACGTCCAAGTCCACGTCCACGTCCACGTCCAAGTCCAAGTCCAAGTCCAAGCCCACGTCCACCTCCACGACCACGTCCACGTCCCCGTCCAAGTCCACATCCATGTCCACGTCCACGTCCACGTCCAAGTCCACGTCCAAGTCCACGACCACGTCCACGACCACGTCCACGTCCACGTCCACGTCCACGTCCACGACCACCTCCAAGTCCACGACCACCTCCACGTCCACGTCGAAGTCTACGACCACGTCCACGACCACATCCACGTCCACGTCCACGTCCACGTCCACGTCCACGACCACCTCCAATTCCACGACCACCTCCACGTCCATGTCCACGTCCACGACCAGGTCCACGTCCACGTCCACGTCCACGTCAAGGTCCACGTCCACGTCCACGTCCACGTCCAGGTCTACGTCCAGGTCCACGTCCACGTCCACGTCACGACCACGTCCACATCCACGTCCACGTCATGACCACGTCCACGTCCACGTCCACGTCCACGTCAAAGTCCACGTCCACGTCACGACCACGTCCACATCCACGTCCACGTCACGACCACGTCCACGTCCACGTCCACGTCCACGTCCACGTCCACGTCCACGTCAAAGTCCACGTCCACGTTCACGTCCACGTCCACGACCAGGTCCACGTCCACGACCACGTCCACGTCCACGTCCAGGTCCACGTCCACGACCACGTCCACGTCCACGTCCACGTCCAGGTCCACGTCCAGGTCCACGTCCACCTCCACGACCACGTCCACGTCCACGACCACGTCCACGTCCACGACCACGTCCACGTCCACGTCCACGTCCACGTCCACGTCCAGGTCAACGTGCAGGTCCACGTCCACGTCCACGTCCACGTCCAAGTCCACGTCCACGTCCACGTCCACGTCCACCTCCACGACCACGTCCACGTCCACGTCCACGTCCACGACCACCTCCAAGTCCACGTCCACGTCCACGTCCACGTCCACGTCCAAGTCCACGTCCACGTCCACGACCACGTCCACGTCCACGTCCACGTCCACGTACACGTCCACGTCCAAGTCCACGTCCATTTCCACGACCACGTCCACGTCCACGTCCACGTCCACGACCACGTCCACGTCCACGTCCACGTCCACGTCCACGTCACGACCACGTCCACGTCCACGTCCACGTCACGACCACGTCCACGTCCACGTCCACGTCCACGTCCACGACCACGTCCACGTCAAAGTCCACGTCCACGTTCACGTCCACGTCCACGACCAAGTCCACGTCCACGACCACGTCCACGTCCACGTCCACGTCCACGTCCACGTCCACGTCCACGTCCACGACCACGTCCACGTCCACGTCCACGTCCAGGTCCACGTCCAGGTCCACGTCCACGTCCACGACCACGTCCACGTCCACGACCACGTCCACGTCCACGACCACGTCCACGTCCACGTCCACGTCCACGTCCAGGTCAACGTGCAGGTCCACGTCCACGTCCACGTCCACGTCCAAGTCCACGTCCACGTCCACGTCCACGTCCACGTCCACGTCCACCTCCACGACCACGTCCACGTCCACGTCCACGTCCACGACCACCTCCAAGTCCACGTCCACGTCCACGTCCACGTCCACGTCCAAGTCCACGTCCACGTCCACGACCACGTCCACGTCCACGTCCACGTCCACGTCCAAGTCCGCGTCCACCTCCACGACCACGTCCACGTCCACGTCCACGTCCACGACCAGGTCCACGTCCACGTCCACGTCCACGTCCACGTCCACGTCCACGACCACGTCCACGTCCACGTCCACGTCCACGACCACGTCCACGTCCACGTCCACGTCCAGGTCCACGTCCACGTCCACGTCACCACTTCCACGTCCGCGACCACGTCCACGACCACGTCCAGGTCCACGTCCACGTCCACGTCTACGACCACGTCCAGGTCCACGTCCACGTCCACGTCCACGTCCACGTCCACGTCCACGTCCACGTCCAGGTCCACGTCCCGGTCCAAGTCTACGTCCAAGTCCACGACCACGTCCACGACCACGTTCACGTCTACGTCCACGTCCACGTCCACGTCCACATCCACAACCACATCCACGTCCACGTCCACGTCCACGTCCACGTCCACGACCAGGTCCACGTCCACGTCCACGTCCACGTCCACGTCCACGTCCAGGTCCACGTCCAAGTTCCCGTCCACGACCACGTCCACGTCCACGTCCACTTCCAAGTTCACGTCCAAGTCCACGTCCACGACCACGTCCACGTCCATGTCGAGCCGTGTGGTCGTCGGACGCGGTAGAGGGGGTGGAAGCAAAGAATGGAGAGAGGCGCAGGGAGTGGGCGTTTTGAGTCGACTCAAATAAAGACGTAGCCACTATGAGGAGCCGTGTGTTCGTCGACACGGTAGAGGGGGTAGTAGCAGAGGGTGGAGAAAGAAGCAGGGAGTGGACGTTTTGAGTTGGCCCAAAACAAGACGTAGAGAGCGACCGAAACTAGTGCTGCCACCACGCCGAGCCGTTTGGTCGTCAACGAGGTAGAGGGGGTGGAAGCAGAGGGTGGAGGGAGGAACAGGGGTCGACGTTTTCAGTCAACCTAGTGCAGCCACCACGTCGAGCCGTGTGTTCGTCGACGCGGTAGAGGGGGTGGAAGCAGAGGGTGGAGAGAGGAGCAGAAAATTCGGCGTTTTTAGTCGGCCCAAAACAAGACGTAGAGAGCGACTGAACCTAGTGTAGCCACCACGTCGAGCCGAGTGGTCGTCGACGCGGTAGAGGGGTGGGAAGCAGAGGGTGGAGAGAGGAGCAGGGAGTCGACGTCTTGAGACGGCTCAAAACAAGACGTAGAGAGCGACCGAACCTTGTACAGCCACCACGCCGAGCCGTGTGGTCGTCGACAAGGTAGAGGGGGTGGAAGCAGAGGATGGAGAGAGGAGTAGGGGGTCGACGTTTTGAGTCGGCCCAAAATAAGACGTAGATAGCAACCGAACCTAGTATAGCCACCACGTCGAGCCATGTGGTCGTCGACACGGTAGAGGGGGTGGAAGCAGAGGGTGGAAAGAGGACCACGTCCACGTCCACGTCCACGACTAGGTCCACGTCCACGAGCACGTCCAGGTCCACGTCACGACCACGTCCACGTCCACGTCCACGTCCACGTCCAGGTCCAGGTCCACGTCCACGTCCACGTCCACGTCCACGACCACGTCCACGTCCACGTCCACGTCCAAGTCCACGTCCACGTCCACGTCCACGTCCACGTCCACGTCCACGTCCACGTCCACGACCACGTTCACGTCCACGTCCACGTCCACGACCACCTCCAAGTCCACCTCCACGTCCACGTCCACGTCCACGACCACGTCCACGTCCACGACCACGTCCACGTCCACGTCCACGTCCACGTCCACGTCCACGTCCACGTCCAACTCCACGTCCACGTCCACGTCCACGTCCACGTCCACGACCACGTCCACGTCCACGTCCACGTCCAAGTCCACGTCCACGTCCACGTCCACGTCCACGCCCACGTCCACGTCCACGTCCACGTCCACGTCCACGTCCAGGTCCACGTCCACGTCCACGTCCACGACCACGTTCACGTCCACGTCCACGTCCACGACCACCTCCAAGTCCACCTCCACGTCCACGTCCACGACCACGTCCACGTCCACGACCACGTCCACGTCCACGTCCACGTCCACGTCCAAGTCCACGTCCACGTCCACGACCACGTCCACGTCCACGTCCAGGTCCACGTCCAACTCCACGTCCACGTCCAAGTCCACGACCACGTCCACGACCACGTCCACGACCACGTCCACGACCACGACCACGTCCACGTCCACGTCCACGATCACGTCCACGTCCAGTCCACGTCCACGTCCACGTCCACGTCCACGTCCACGTCCACGACCACGTCCACGAACACGTCCACGTCACGTCCACGTCCACGTCCAAGTCCACGTCCAGTCCACGTCAACGTCCACGTCCAGTCCACGTCCAAGTTCACGGCGACCACGTCCACGTCCAGGTCCACGTCCACGTCCACGTCCAAGTTCACGTCCACGTCCACGACCACGTCCACGACCACGTCCACGACCACGTCCACGTCCACGTCCACGTCCACGTCCATGTCCACGTCCATGACCACCTCCACGACCACCTCCACGTCCAAGTCCACGACCACGTCCACGTCCACGTCCACGACCACGTCCGCGTCCACGTCCACGTCCACGACCACGTCCAGGTCCACGTCCACGTCTACGACACTACGTCCACCTCCATGACCACGTCTACGACCACGTCCACGTCCACGTCCACGTTCACGTCCACGTCCACGACCACGTCTAAGTCCACGTCCACGTCCACGTGCAGGTCAACGTGCAGGTCCACGTCCACGTCCACGTCCACGTCCAAGTCCACGTCCAAGTCCACGTCTACGTCCACGACCACGTCCACGTCCACGTCCACGTCCACGACCACCTCCAAGTCCACGTCCACGTCCACGTCCAAGTCCACGTCCACGTCCACGTCCGCGTCCGCGTCCACGTCCGCGTCCAGGTCCACGTCCACGTCCACGTCCACGTCCACGTCCACGTCCTCGACCACGTCCACGTCCGTGTCCGCGTCCACGACCGCGTCCAGGTCCACGTCCACGTCCACGTCCACGTCCACGTCCACGTCCTCGACCACGTCCACGACCACGTCCACGTCCACGACCACGTCCAGGTCCACGTCCACGTCCACGTCCACGTCACCACGTCCACGTCCACGACCACGTCCACGACCACGTCCACGTCCACGTCCACGTCCACGTCCAGGTCCACGTCCACGTCCACGTCCACGACCACGTCCACGTCCACGTCCACGACCACCTCCAAGTCCACCTCCACGTCCACGTCCACGCCCACGACCACGTCCACGTCCACGACCACGTCCACGTCCACGTCCAAGTCCACGTCCACGTCCACGACCACGTCCACGTCCATGTCCACGTCCAACTCCACGTCCACGTACAAGACCACGTCCACGTCCAACTCCACGTCCACGTCCAGTCCACGTCAACGTCCACGTCCAGTTTACGTCCAAGTCCACGTCCAAGTCCACGTCCACGTCCACGTCCAACTCCACTTCCACGTCCACGTCCACGTTCACGACCACGTCCAAGTCCACGTCCACGTCCACGTCCACGTCCACGTCCAACTCCACGTCCACGTCCACGTCCACGTCCACGTCCACGTCCACGACCACGTCCACGTCCACGTCCACGTCCACGTCCAACTCCACTTCCACGTCCACGTCCACGTTCACGACCACGTCCAAGTCCACGTCCACGTCCACGACCACGTCCACGTCCACGTCCACGTCTACGTCCACGTCCAAGTCCACGTCCACGTCCACGTCCAAGTCCACGTCCACGTCCACGTCCACGTCCACGTCCAAGTCCAAGTCCAAGTCCAAGTCCACGTCCACGACCACGTCCACGTCCCCGTCCAAGTCCACGTCCACGTCCACGTCCACGTCCACGTCCAAGTCCACGTCCAAGTCCACGACCACGTCCACGACCACGTCCACGTCCACGTCGACGTCCACATCCACGTCCACGACCACCTCCAAGTCCACGACCACCTCCACGTCCACGTCCAAGTCCACGACCACGTCCGCGTTCACGTCCACGTCCACGACCAGGTCCACGTCCACGTCCACGTCCACGTCCACGTCCACGTCCAGGTCCACGTCCAGGTCCACGTCCACTTCCACGTCACGACCACGTCCACGTCCACGACCACGTCGAGGTCCACGTCCACGTCCACGACCACGTCCACGTCCACGACCACGTCCAGGTCCACGTCCACGTCCACGTCCACGTCCACGTCACCACGTCCATGTCCACGACCACGTCCACGACCACGTCCACGTCCACGTCCACGTCCACGACCACGTCCACGTCCACGACCACGTCCACGTCCACGTCCACGTCCACGTCCACGTCCACGTCCACGTCCACGTCACCACGTCCACGTCCACGACCACGTCCACGACCACGTCCACGTCCACGTCCACGTCCACGTCCACGTCTACGTCCACGTCCACGTCCACGTCCACGACCACGTCCACGTCCACGTCCACGACCACGTCCACGACCACGTCCACGTCCACGTCCACGTCCACGACCACGTCCACGTCCACGTCCACGTCCACGTCCACGTCCACCTCCAAGTCCACGTCCACGTCCACATCCACGACCAACTCCACGTCCACGACCATGTCCACGTCCACGTCCACGTCCACGTCCAAGTCCACGTCCACGTCCACGTCAACGTCCACGTCCACGTCCACGTCCACGTCCAACTCCACGTACACGTCCAAGACCACGTCCACGTCCAACTCCACGTCCATGTCCAGTCCACGTCCAGTTTACGTCCAAGTCCACGTCAACGTCCACGTCCACGTCCACGTCCAACTCCACTTCCACGTCCAAGACTACGACCACGTCCACGTCCATAACCACGTCCAGTCCACGTCCAAGTCCACGTCCACGTCCACGTCCAAGTCCAAGTCCACGTTCACGACCACGACCACGTCCACGACCACGTCCACGTCCACGACAACGTCCACGTCCACGTCCACGACCACGTCCACGACCACGTCCACGTCCACGACCACGACCACGTCCACGTCCACGTCCACGTCCACGACCACGTCCACGTCCACGTCCACGTCCACGTCCAACTCCACGTCCACGTCCAAGACCACGTCCACGTCCAACTCCACGTCCACGTCCAGTCCACGTCAACGTCCACGTCCAGTTTACGTCCAAGTCCACGTCCAAGTCCACGTCTACGTCCACGTCCACGTCCACGTCCACGTCCAGGTCCACGACCACGTCCACGTCAACGTCCACGTCCACGCCCACGTCCACGTCCACGTCCACGTCCACGTCCACGTCCACGTCCACGTGCAGGTCCACGTCCACGTCCACGTCCACGTCCATGTCCACGTCCAAGTCCAAGTCCACGCCCACGTCCACGATCACGTCCACGTCCATGTCCACATCACCACGTCCACGTCCACGACTACGTCCACGACCACGTCCACGTCCAAGTCCAAGTCCACGCCCACGTCCACGATCACGTCCACGTCCATGTCCACATCACCACGTCCACGTCCACGACTACGTCCACGACCACGTCCACGTCCACGTCCTCGTCCACGTCCACGTCCACGTCCACGAGCACGTCCAGGTCCACGTCCACGTCCACGTCCACGTCCAGGTCCAGGTCCACGTCCACGTCCAGGTCCACGTCCACGTCCAGGTCCACGTCCACGTCCACGTCCACGTCCACGTCCAAGTCCAGGTCCAAGTCCACGTACACGTCCACGTCCACGACCACGTTCACGTCCACGTCCACGTCCACGTCCACCTCCAAGTCCACCTCCAAGTCCACGTCCACGTCCACGTCCAAGTCCAAGTCCAAGTCCAAGTCCACGTCCACCTCCACGACCACGTCCACGTCCCCGTCCAAGTCCACGTCCACGTCCACGTCCACGTCCACGTCCACGTCCAAGTCCACGTCCAAGTCCACGACCACGTCCACGACCACGTCCACGTCCACGTCCACGTCCACCTCCACGTCCACGACCACCTCCAAGTCCACGACCACCTCCACGTCCACGTCGAAGTCTACGACCACGTCCACGACCACGTCCACGTCCACGTCCACGTCCACGTCCACGACCACCTCCTAGTCCACGACCACCTCCACGTCCATGTCCACGTCCACGTCCACGACCAGGTCCACGTCCACGACCACGTCCACGTCCACGTCCACGTCCAAGTCCACGTCCACGTCCACGACCACGTCCACGTCCACGACCACGTCCACGTCCAACTCCACGTCCACGTCCAAGACCACGTCCACGTCCAACTCCACGTCCACGTCCAGTCCACGTCAACGTCCACGTCCAGTTTATGTCCAAGTCCACGTCCAAGTCCACGTCCACGTCCACGTCCAACTCCACTTCCACGTCCACGTCCACGTTCACGACCATGTCCAAGTCCACGTCCACGTCCACGACCACGTCCACGTCCACGTCCACGTCCACGTCCAAGTCCACGTCCACGTCCACGTCCAAGTCCACGTCCACGTCCACGCCCACGTACACGTCCACGTCCACGTCCACGTCCAAGTCCAAGTCCAAGTCCAAGTCCACGTCCACGACCACGTCCACGTCCCCATCCAAGTCCACGCCCACGTCCACGTCCACGTCCATGTCCAACTCCACTTCCACGTCCACGTCCACATTCACGACCACGTCCAAGTCCACGTCCACGTCCACGTCCAGGTCCACGTCCACGTCCACGTCCACGTTCACGTCCACGTCAACGTCCACGTCCAGTTTACGTCCAAGTCCACGTCCAAGTCTACGTCCACGTCCACGTCCAACTCCACTTCCACGTCCACGTCCACGTTCACGACCACGTCCAGTTTACGTCCAAGTCCACGTCCAAGTCCACGTCCACGTCCACGTCCAACTCCACTTCCACGTCCACGTCCACGTTCACGACCACGTCCAAGTCCACGTCCACGTCCACGACCACGTCCACGTCCACGTCCACGTCCACGTCCAAGTCCACGTCCACGTCCACGTCCAAGTCCACGTCCACGTCCACGTACACGTCCACGTCCACGTCCAAGTCCAAGTCCAAGTCCAAGTCCACGTCCACGACCACGTCCACGTCCCCGTCCAAGTCCACGTCCACGTCCACGTTCACGACCACGTCCAACTCCACGTCCACGTCCACGTCCACGTTCAAGTCCACGTCCACGTCCACGTCCACGTCCACGTCCAGGTTCACGTCCACGTCCACGTCCACGACCACCTCCAAGTCCACCTCCAAGTCCACGTCCACGTCCAAGTCCAAGTCCAAGTCCAAGTCCACGTCCACCTCCACGACCACGTCCACGTCCCCGTCCAAGTCCACGTCCACGTCCACGTCCACGTCCACGTCCAAGTCCACGTCCAAGTCCACGACCACGTCCACGACCACGTCCACGTCCACGTCCACGTCCACGTCCACGACCACCTCCAAGTCCACGACCACCTCCACGTCCACGTCGAAGTCTACGACCACGTCCACGTCCACGTCCACGTCCACGTCCACGACCACCTCCAAGTCCACGACCACCTCCACGTCCATGTCCACGTCCACGTCCACGACCAGGTCCACGTCCACGACCACGTCCACGTCCACGTCCAAGTCCACGTCCACGTCCACGACCACGTCCACGTCCACGACCACGTCCACGTCCACGTCCACGTCCAAGTCCACGTCCACGTCCACGACCACGTCCACGTCCACGTCCACGTCCACGTCCAACTCCACGTCCACGTCCAAGACCACGTCCACGTCCAACTCCACGTCCATGTCCAGTCCACGTCAACATCCACGTCCAGTTTACGTCCAAGTCCACGTCCAAGTCCACGTCCACGTCCACGTCCAACTCCACTTCCACGTCGACGTCCACGTTCACGACCACGTCCAAGTCCACGTCCACGTCCACGACCACGTCCACGTCCACGTCCACGTCCACGTCCACGTCCACGTACACGTCCACGTCCACGTCCAAGTCCAAGTCCAAGTCCAAGTCCACGTCCACGACCACGTCCACGTCCCCGTCCAAGTCCACGTCCACGTCCACGTCCACGTCCACGTCCACGTTCACGTCCACGTCCACGACCAGGTCCACGTCCACGTCCACGTCCACGTCCAGGTCCACGTCCACGTCCAGGTCCACGTCCAGGTCCACGTCCACTTCCACGTCACGACCACGTCCACGTCCACGACCACGTCCAGGTCCACGTCCACGTCCAAAACCACGTCCACGTCCACGACCACGTCCACGTCGACGTCCACGTCCACGTCCACGACCACCTCCACGTCCACGTCCAAGTCCACGACCACGTCCACGTTCACGTCCACGTCCACGACCAGGTCCACGTCCACGTCCACGTCCACATCCAGGTCCACGTCCACGTCCACGTCCAGGTCCACGTCCAGGTCCACGTCCACTTCCACGTCACGACCACGTCCACGTCCACGACCACGTCCAGGTCCACGTCCACGTCCACGACCACGACCACGTCCACGACCACGTCCAGGTCCACGTCCACGTCCACGTCCAAGTCCAAGTCCACGTCCACGTCCACGTCCACGTCCCCGTCCAAGTCCACGTCCACGTCCACGTCCACGTCCACGTCCACGTTCACGTCCACGTCCACGACCAGGTCCACGTCCACGTCCACGTCCACGTCCAGGTCCACGTCCACGTCCAGGTCCACGTCCAGGTCCACGTCCACTTCCACGTCACGACCACGTCCACGTCCACGACCACGTCCAGGTCCACGTCCACGTCCAAAACCACGTCCACGTCCACGACCACGTCCACGTCGACGTCCACGTCCACGTCCACGACCACCTCCACGTCCACGTCCAAGTCCACGACCACGTCCACGTTCACGTCCACGTCCACGACCAGGTCCACGTCCACGTCCACGTCCACGTCCAGGTCCACGTCTACGTCCACGTCCAGGTCCACGTCCAGGTCCACGTCCACTTCCACGTCACGACCACGTCCACGTCCACGACCACGTCCAGGTCCACGTCCACGTCCACGACCACGTCCACGTCCACGACCACGTCCAGGTCCACGTCCACGTCCACGTCACAACGTCCACGTCCACGACCATGTCCACGTCCACGTCCACGACCACGTCCACGTCCACGTCCACGACCACGTCCACATCCACGTCCACGTCCACGTCCACGTCCAGGTCCACGTCCACGTCCACGTCCACGTCCACGTCCACGACCACGTCCACGTCCACGACCACGTCCACGTCCACGTCCACGTCCACGTCCACCTCCAAGTCCACGACCACGTCCACGTCCACATCCACGACCAAGTCCACGTCCACGACCACGTCCACGTCCACGTCCACGTCCACGTCCACGTCCAAGTCCACGTCCACGTCCACGTCAACGTCCACGTCCACATCCACGTCCAACTCCATGTACACGTCCAAGACCACGTCCACGTCCAACTCCACGTCCACGTCCTGTCCACGTCCAACTCCACGTCCAGTTTACGTCCAAGTCCACGTCAACGTCCACGTCCACGTCCACGTCCAACTCCACTTCCACGTCCAAGACTACGACCACGTCCACGTCCACAACCACGTCCAGTCCACGTCCAAGTCTACGTCCAAGTCCAAGACCACGTCCACGTCCAACTCCACGTCCACGTCCAGTCCATGTCAACGTCCACGTCCAGTTTACGTCCAAGTCCACGTCCAAGTCCACGTCCAGGTCCACGACCACGTCCACGTCCACGTCCACGCCCACGTCCACGTCCACGTCCACGACCACGTCCACGTCCACGTCCACGTCCACGTCCACGTTCAGGTCAACATGCAGGTCCAGGTCCACGTCCACGTCCACGTCCAAGTCCACGTCCACGTCCATGTCCACGTCCAAGTCCAAGTCCAAGTCCACGTCCACGTCCACGATCACGTCCACGTCCACGTCCACGTCCACGACCACCTCCAAGTCCACGTCCACGTGCACGACCACGTCCAGTTCCACGTCCACGTCCACGTCCACGTCCACGTCACCACGTCCACGTGCACGACCACGTCCAGTTCCACGTCCACGTCCACGTCCACGTCCACGTCACCACGTCCACGTCCACGACCACGTCCAGGTCCACGTCCAGGTCCACGTCCACGTCCAAGTCCACGTCCACGTTCACGTCCAGGTCCACGTCGACGTCCACGTCCACGTCCACGTCCACGTCCAGGTCCACGTCCACGTCCACGACTACGTCCACGACCACGTCCAGGTCCACGTCCACGTCCACGTCCACGTCACAACGTCCACGTCCACGACCAAGTCCACGTCCACGTCCACGACCACGTCCACGTCCACGACCACGTCCACGTCCACGTCCACGTCCACGTCCACGTCCAGGTCCACGTCCACGTCCACGTCCACGTCCACGTCCACGACCACGTCCACGTCCACGACCACGTCCACGTCCACGTCCACGTCCACGTCCAAGTCCACGTCCACGTCCACGTCAACGTCCACGTCCACGTCCACGTCCAACTCCATGTACACGTCCAAGACCACGTCCACGTCCAACTCCACGTCCACGTCCAGTCCACGTCCAACTCCACGTCCAGTTTACGTCCAAGTCCACGTCAACGTCCACGTCCACGTCCACGTCCAACTCCACTTCCACGTCCAAGACTACGACCACGTCCACGTCCACAACCACGTCCAGTCCACGTCCAAGTCTACGTCCAAGTCCACGTCCACGTCCACGTCCAAGTCCAAGTCCATGTCCACGACCACGACCACGTCCACGACCACGTCTACGTCCACGACCACGTCCACGTCCACGTCCACGACCACGTCCACGACCACGTCCACGTCCACGACCACGACCACGTCCACGTCCACGTCCACGTCCACGACCACGTCCACGTCCACGTCCACGTCCACGTCCAACTCCACGTCCACGTCCAAGACCACGTCCACGTCCAACTCCACGTCCACGTCCAGTCCACGTCAACGTCCACGTCCAGTTTACGTCCAGGTCCACGACCACGTCCACGTCCACGTCCACGCCCACGTCCACGTCCACGTCCACGTCCACGACCACGTCCACGTCCACGTCCACGTCCACGTCCACGTCCACGTTCAGGTCAACATGCAGGTCCACGTCCACGTCCACGTCCAAGTCCACGTCCACGTCCATGTCCACGTCCAAGTCCAAGTCCAAGTCCACGTCCACGTCCACGATCACGTCCACGTCCACGTCCACGTCCACGTCCACGACCACCTCCAAGTCCACGTCCACGTCCACGTTCACGTCCACGTCCACGTCCACGTCCACGACCACGTCCAGGTCCACGTCCACGTGCACGACCACGTCCAGTTCCACGTCCACGTCTACGTCCACGTCCACGTCACCACGTCCACGTCCACGACCACGTCCACGACCACGTCCACGTCCACGACCACGTCCAGGTCCACGTCCACGTCCACGTCCACGTCCAGGTCCACGTCCAGGTCCACGTCCACGTCCAAGTCCACGTCCACGTTCACGTCCAGGTCCACGTCGACGTCCACGTCCACGTCCACGTCCACGTCCAGGTCCACGTCCACGTCCACGACCACGTCCAAGTCCACGTCCACGTCCACGTCCACGTCCACGTCCACGTCCACGTCCACGTCCACGACCAAGTCCACGACCACGTCCACGTCCACGTCCACGACCAAGTCCACGTCCACGTCTATGACCAAGTCCACGTTCACGACCACGTCCACGTCCAAGTCCACGTCCACGTTCACGACCACGTCCACGTCCACGTCCACGTCCACGTCCACGTCCACGTCCAACTCCACGTACACGTCCAAGACCACGTCCACGTCCAACTCCACGTCCACGTCCAGTCCACGTCCAACTCCACGTCCAGTTTACGTCCAAGTCCACGTCCACGTCCACGTCCACGTCCACGTCCAAGTCCACGTCCACGTCCACGACCACGTCCACGACCACGTCCAAGTCCACGTCCACGTCCACGACCACGTCCACGTCCACGTCCACGTCCACGTCTACGTCCACGTCCAAGTCCACGACCACGTCCACGTCCACGTACACGTTGAAGTCCACGTCCACGTCCACGTCCACGTACATTTCTACGTCCACGTCTACGTCCACGTCCAAGTCCAAGTCCAAGTCCACGTCCACGTCCCCGACCACGTCCACGTCCCCGTCCAAGTCCACGTCTACGTCCAAGTCCACGTCTACGTCTACGTCCACGTCCACGTCCACGTCCACGTCCACGTCCAAGTCCACGTCCAAGTCCACGACCACGTCCAAGTCCACGACCACGTCCACGTCGACGTCCACGTCCACGTCCACGTCGACGTCCACGTCCACGTCCACGTTCACGACCACCTCCAAGTCCACGACCACGTCGATGTCCACGTCCAGGTCCACGACCACGTCCACGTCCACGACCAGGTCCACGTCCACGTCCACGTCCACGTCCAGGTCCACGTCCAGGTCCACGTTCACGTCCAAGTCCACGACCACGTCCACGTCCACGTCACGACCACGTCTACGTCCACGTCCACGTCACGACCACGTCCACGTCCACGTCACGACCACGTCCACGTCCACGTCCACGTCCACGACCACGTCCACGTCAATGTCCACGTCCACGTCCACGTCCACGACCAAGTCCACGTCCACGACCACGTCCACGTCCACGTCCACGTCCAGGTCCACGTCCACGACCACGTCCACGTCCACGTCCAGGTCCACGTCCACGTCCACGTCCACGTCCACGACCACGTCCACGTTCACGTCCACGTCCACGTCCACGTCCACGTCCACGACCACGTCCACGTCCACGTCCACGTCCACGTCCACGTCCACGACCACGTCCACGTCCACGACCACGTCCACGTCCACGTCCACGTCCACGACCACGTCCACGATCACGTCCACGTCCAGTCCACGTCCACGTCCAAGTCCACGTCCACGTCAAAATCCACGTCCACGTCCCGTCCACGTCCACGTCCACGTCAACGTCCACGTCCAGTCCACGTCCACGTCCACGGCGACCACGTCCACGTCCAGGTCCACGTCCACGTCCACATCTAAGTCCAAGTCCACGTCCACGTCCACGACCACGTCCACGACCACGTCCACGACCACGTCCACGTCCACGTCCACGTCCACGTCCACGTCCAAGTCCACGTCCACGTCCACGACCACCTCCACGTCCACGTCCAAGTCCACGTCCACGTTCACGTCCACGACCAGGTCCACGTCCACGTCCACGTCCACGTCCACGACCACGTCCACGTCCACGTCCACGTCCACGACCACGTCCAGGTCCACGTCCACGTCCACGTCCCCACGTCCACCTCCACGACCACGTCCACCTCCACGACCACGTCCACGACCACGTCCACGTCCACGTCCACGTCCACGACAACGTCCAAGTCCACGGCCACGTCCACGTCCACGTCCACGTCCACGTCCAGGTCCACGTCCATGTCCACGTCCACGTCCACGTCCAGGTCCACGTCAACGTCCACGACCACGTCCACGTCCACGTCCACGTCACGTCCACGTCCACGTCCACGTCCACGACCACGTCCAAGTCCAGGTCCACGTCCACGACCACGTCCACGTCCACGTCCATGTCCAAGTCCACGTCCACGACCACGTCCACGTCCACGTCCACGTCCACGTCCGCGTCCAAGACCACGTCCACGTCCACGCACGTCCACGTCCAGTCCACGTCAACGTCCACCTCCAGTTTACGTCCAAGTCCACGTCCAAGTCCACGTCCACGTCCACGTCCACGTCGAACTCCACGTCCACGTCCAAGACTACGACCACGTCCACGTCCACGACCACGTCCAGTCTACGTCCAAGTCCACGTCCACGTCCACGACCACGTCCACGACCACGTCCAAGTCCACGTCCACGTCCACGTCCACGTCCACGACCATGTCCACGATCACGTCCACGTCCAGTCCACGTCCACGTCCAAGTCCACGTCCACGTCCACGACCACGTCCACGACCACGTCCAAGTCCACGTCCACGTCCACGTCCACGACCACGTCGACGATCACGTCCACGTCCATTCCACGTCCAAGTCCACGTCCACGTCCAAGTCCACGTCCACGTCCACGACCACGTCACGACCACGTCCAAGTCCACGTCCACGTCCACGTCCACGACCACGTCGACGATCACGTCCAGTCCACGTCCAAGTCCACGGCGACCACGTCCACGTCCAGGTCCACGTCCACGTCCACGTCTAAGTCCAAGTCCACGTCCATGTCCACGACCACGTCCACGACCACGTCCACGACCACGTCCACGTCCACGACCACCTCCAAGTCCACGTCCACGTCCACGTCCACGTCCAGGTCCACGTCCACGTCCACGTCCACGTCACGTCCACGTCCACGTCCACGACCACGTCCAAGTCCAGGTCCAGGTCCACGACCACGTCCACGTCCACGTCCACGTCCAAGTCCACGTCCACGACCACGTCCACGTCCACGTCCACGTCCACGTCCACGTCCACGTCCAAGACCACGTCCACGTCCACGCACGTCCACGTCCAGTCCACGTCAACGTCCACCTCCAGTTTACGTCCAAGTCCACGTCCAAGTCCACGTCCACGTCCACGTCCACGTCCAACTCCACGTCCACGTCCAAGACTACGACCACGTCCACGTCCACGACCACGTCCAGTCTACGTCCAAGTCCACGTCCACGTCCACGACCACGTCCACGTCCACGTCCAGGTCCACGTCCACGTCCACGTCCACGTCCACGTCCACGTCCAGGTCCACGTCAACGTCCACGACCACGTCCACGTCCACGTCCACGTCACGTCCACGTCCACGTCCACGTCCACGACCACGTCCAAGTCCAGGTCCACGTCCACGACCACGTCCACGTCCACGTCCACGTCCAAGTCCACGTCCACGACCACGTCCACGTCCACGTCCACGTCCACGTCCACATCCAAGACCACGTCCACGTCCACGCACGTCCACGTCCAGTCCACGTCAACGTCCACCTCCAGTTTACGTCCAAGTCCACGTCCAAGTCCACGTCCACGTCCACGTCCACGTCCACGTCCAACTCCACGTCCACGTCCAAGACTACGACCACGTCCACGTCCACGACCACGTCCAGTCTACGTCCAAGTCCACGTCCACGTCCACGACCACGTCCATGACCACGTCCAAGTCCACGTCTACGTCCAAGTCCACGTCCACGTCCACGACCACGTCCATGACCACGTCCAAGTCCACGTCCACGTCCACGTCCACGTCTACGTCCAAGTCCACGTCCACGTCCACGACCACGTCCACGACCACGTCCAAGTCCACGTCCACGTCCACGTCCACGTCCACGTCCACGACCATGTCCACGATCACGTCCACGTCCAGTCCACGTCCAAGTCCACGTCCACGTCCACGACCACGTCCACGACCACGTCCAAGTCCACGTCCACGTCCACGTCCACGACCACGTCGACGATCACGTCCACGTCCATTCCACGTCCACGTCCAAGTCCACGTCCAAGTCAAAATCCACGTCCACGTCCACGTCCCGTCCACGTCCACGTCCACGTCAACGTCCACGTCCAGTCCACGTCCAAGTCCACGGCGACCACGTCCACGTCCAGGTCCACGTCCACGTCCACGTCCACGTCTAAGTCCAAGTCCACGTCCACGTCCACGACCACGTCCACGACCACGTCCACGACCACGTCCACGTCCACGTCCACGTCCACGACCACCTCCACGTCCACGTCCACGTCCAAGTCCACGACCACGTCCACGTCCACGTCCACGTCTACGACCAGGTCCACGTCCACGTCCACGTCCACGTCCACGACCACGTCCAGGTCCACGTCCACGTCCACGTCCCCACGTCCACCTCCTCGACCACCTCCACGACCACGTCCACGTCCACGTCCACGACCACGTCCAGGTCCACGTCCACGTCCACGTCCACGTCCACGTCCAGGTCCAGGTCCACGTCCACGTCCACGTCCAGGTCCACGTCCACGTCCACGTCCACGTCCACGTCCACGACCACGTCCACGTCCACGTCCACGTCCACGACCACCTCCAAGTCCACGTCCACGTCCACGTCCACGTCCACGTCCACGTCCACGACCACGTCCACGTCCACGTCCACGTCCAAGTCCACGTCCACGTCCACGTCCACGTCCAAGACTACGACCACGTCCATGCACGTCCACGTCCAGTCCACGTCAACGTCCACCTCCAGTTTACGTCCAAGTCCACGTCCATGTCCACGTCAACGTCCACGTCCAACTCCACGTCCACGTCCAAGACTACGACCACGTCCACATCCACGACCACGTCCAGTCTACGTCCAAGTCCACGTCCACGACCACGTCCACGACCACGTCCAAGTCCACGTCCACGTCCACGTCCACGTCCACGTCCACGTCCAAGTCCACGTCCACGTCCACGACCACGGCCACAACCACGGCCACGTCCACTTCCAAGTCCACGGCCACGTCCACGTCCACGTCCACGTACAGGTCCACGTCCACGTCCACGTCCACGTCCACGTCCCGGTCCAAGTCCACGTCCAAGTCCACGACCACGTCCACGTCCACGTCCACGTCCACGTCGACGTCCACGTCCACGTCCACGACCACCTCCAAGTCCACGTCCACGTCCACGTCCACGTCCACGTCCATGACCACGTCCACGTCCACGACCACGTCCGCGTCCACGTCCACGACCACGTCCACGATCACGTCCACGTCCAGTCCACGTCCACGTCCAAGTCCACGTCCACGTCAAAATCCACGTCCACGTCCACGTCCCAATCCACGTCCACGTCCACGTCCCGTCCACGTCCACGTCCACGTCAACGTCCACGTCCAGTCCACGTCCACGTCCACGGCGACCACGTCCACGTCCACGTCCACGTCCACGTCCACGGCGACCACGTCCACGTCCACGTCCACGGCGACCACGTCCACGTCCACGTCCACGTCCACGTCTAAGTCCAAGTCCACGTCCACGTCCACGACCACATCCACGACCACGTCCACGACCACGTCCACGTCCACGTCCAAGTCCACGTCCACGTCCACGTCCTCGTCCACGACCACGTCCACGTCCACGTCCACGACCACGTCCACGTCCACGTCCACGTCCACGTCCACGTCCACGACCACGTCCAGGTCCACGTCCACGTCCACGTCCCCACGTCCACCTCCACGACCACGTCCACCTCCACGACCACGTCCACCTCCACGACCACGACCAGGTCCACGTCCACGTCCACGTCCACGTCCACGACCACGTCCACGTCCACGTCCACGACCACGTCCAGGTCCACGTCCACGTCCACGTCCACGTCCACGTCCACGTCCACGTCCACGTCCACGTCCAGGTCCACGTCCACGTCCACGACCACGTCCACGTCCACGTCCACGTCCACGACCACCTCCAAGTCCACGTCCACGTTCACGTCCACGTCCACGACCACGTCCAAGTCCACGTTCACGTCCACGACCACGACCACGTCCAAGTCCACGTCCACGACCACCTCCAAGTCCACGTCCACGTCCACGTCCACGTCCACGACCACGTCCAAGTCCACGTCCACGTCCACGACCACGTCCACGTCCACGTCCAAGTCCACGTCCACGTCCACGACCACGTCCACGTCCACGTCCACGACCACGTCCAAGTCCACGTCCACGTCCACGTCCACGTCCACGTCCACGACCACGTCCACGATCACGTCCACGTCCAGTCCACGTCCACGTCCAAGTCCACGTCCACGTCCACGACCACGTCCACGACCACGTCCAAGTCCACGTCCACGTCCACGTCCACGACCACGTCCACGATCACGTCCACGTCCAGTCCACGTCCACGTCCAAGTCCACGTCCAAGTCAAAATCCACGTCCACGTCCACGTCCCGTCCACGTCCACGTCCACGTCAACGTCCACGTCCACGTCCAGTCCACGTCCAAGTCCACGGCGACCACGTCCACGTCCAGGTCCACGTCCACGACCACGTCCACGACCACGTCCACGACCACGTCCACGACCACGTCCACGTCCACGTCCACGTCCACGTCCACGTCCACGTCCACGTCCACGACCACCTCCACGTCCACGTCCAAGTCCACGACCACGTCAACGTCCACGTCCACGTCCCCGACCAGGTCCACGTCCACGTCTACGTCCACGTCCACGTCCACGTCCACGACCACGTCCAGGTCTACGTCCACGTCCACGTCCCCACGTCCACCTCCACGACCACCTCCACGACCACGTCCACGTCCACGACCACGTCCAGGTCCACGTCCACGTCCACGTCCACGTCCATGTCCTCGTCCAGGTTCAGGTCCACGTCCACGTCCTCGTCCAGGTTCACGACCACGTTCAGGTCCACGTCCACGTCCACGTCCACGTCCTCGTCCAGGTCCACGTCCACGTCCACGTCCACGTCCAGGTCCACGTCCACGTCCACGTCCACGTCCAGGTCCACGTCCACGTCCACGTCCACGTCCACGACCACGTCCACGTCCACGTCCACCTCCACGTCCACGTCCACGTCCACGTCCACGTCCAGGTCCACGTCCACGTCCACGTCCAAGACTACGACCACGTCCATGCACGTCCACGTCCAGTCCACGTCAACGTCCACCTCCAGTTTACGTCCAAGACCACGTCCAAGTCCACGTCCATGTCCACGTCCACGTCCACGTCCAACTCCACGTCCACGTCATCGTCCACGTCCACGTCCACGTCCACGTCCACGTCCACGTCCACGTCCACGTCCACGTCCACGTCCACGGCCACGTCCACGTCCACGTCCACGTCCACGTCCACGTCCACGTACAGGTCCACGTCCACGTCCACGTCCACGTCCACGTCCAAGTCCAAGTCCAAGTCCACGTCCACGTCCACGTCCACGTCCACATCCCCGTCCAAGTCCACGTCCACGTCCACGTCGACGTCCACGTCCCGGTCCACGTCCACGTCCCGGTCCAAGTCCACGTCCACGTTCACGTCCACGTCCACGACCACCTCCAAGTCCACGTCCACGTCCACGTCCACGTCCAAGTCCACAACCACATCCACGTCCACGTCCACGTCCACGTCCACGTCCACGACCAGGTCCACGTCCACGTCCACGTCCAGGTCCACGTCCACGTCCACGATCACGTCCACGTCCACGTCCACTTCCACGTTCACGTCAAAGTCCACGTCTACGACCACGTCCACGTCCACGTCGAGCCGTGTGGTCGTCGACGCGGTAGAAGGGGTGGAAGCAAAGGATGGAGAGAGGCGCAGGGAGTGGACGTTTTGAGTCGACTCAAATAAAGACGTAGAGAGCGACCGAAACTAGTGTAGCCACTATGAGGAGTTGTGTGTTCGTCGACACGGTAGAGGGGGTAGAAGCAGAGGGTGGAGAAAGAAGCAGGGAGTGGACGTTTTGAGTTGGCCCAAAACAAGACGTAGAGAGCGACCGAAACTAGTGCTGCTACCACGCCGAGCCGTTTGGTCGTCAACGAGGTAGAGGGGGTGGAAGCAAAGGGTGGAGGGAAGAACAGGGGTCGACGTTTTCAGTCAACCCAAATCAAGACGCAGAGAGGGACCGAACCTAGTACAGCCACCACGTCGAGCCGTGTGGTCGTCGACGCGGTAGAGGGGGTGGAAGCAGAGGGTGGAGAGAGGAGCAGAAAAGTCGGCGTTTTTAGTCGGCCCAAAACAAGACGTAGAGAGCGACCGAAACCTAGTGTAGCCACCACGTCGAGCCGTGTGGTCGTCGACGAGGTAGAGGGGGTGGAAACAGAGGATGGAGAGAGGAGTAGGGGGTCGACGTTTGAGTCGGCCCAAAATAAGACGTAGAGAGCGACCGAACCTAGTGCAGCCATCACGTCGAGCCGTGTGGTCGTCGACGCAGTAGAGGGGGTGGAAGCAGAGGGTGGAGAGAGGAGCAGGGAGTCGACGTTTTGAGTCGGCCCAAAACAAGATGCAGGGAGCGACCGAACCTAGTGTAGCCACCACGTCGAGCCGTATGGTCGTCGACGCGGTAGAGGGGGTGGAAGCAGAAGGTGGAGAGAGGAGGAGGGAGTCGACGTTTGAGTCGGCCCAAAACAAGACGTGACCAAGGCGCGCGTGTGACCAAGGCGCGCGTGTGACCAAGGCGCGCGTCTGACCAAGGCGCGCGTGTGACCAAGGCGCGCGTGTGACCAAGGCGCGCGTGTGACCAAGGCGCGCGTGTGACCAAGGCGTGCGTGTGACCAGGGCGCGCGTGTGACCAAGGCGCGCGTGTGACCAGGGCGCGCGTGTGACCAGGGTGCGCGTGTGACCAGGGCACGTGTGTGACCAAGGCGCGCGTGTGACCAGGGCGCGCGTGTGACCAGGGCGCGCGTGTGACCAGGGCGCGCGTGTGACCAGGGCGTGCGTGTGACCAGGGCGTGCGTGTGACCAGGGCGCGCGTGTGACCCAGGCGTGCGTGTGACCAAGGCGTGCGTGTGACCAAGGCGCGCGTGTGACCAAGGCGTGCGTGTGACCAAGGCGCGCGTGTGACCAAGGCGTGCGTGTGACCACGGCGTGCGTGTGACCAAAGCGTGCGTGTGACCAAGGCGTGCGTGTGACCAAGGCGCGCGTGTGACCAGGGCGCGCGTGTGACCAAGGCGTGCGTGTGACCAAGGCGTGCGTGTGACCAAGGCGTGCGTGTGACTAGGGCGCGCGTCTGACCAGGGCGTGCGTGTGACCAAGGCGCGCTTGTGACCAAGGCGCGCGTGTGACCAGGGCGCGCGTGTGACCCAGGCGCGCATGTGACCAAGGCGTGCGTGTGACCAAGGCGTGCGAGTGACCAGGGCGCGCGTGTGATAAGGGCGCGCGTGTGACCAGGGCGCGCGTGTGACCAGGGCGCGCGTGTGACCAAGGCACGCGTGTGACCAATGCGCGCGTGTGACCAGGGCGTGCGTGTGACCAGGGCGCGCGTGTGACCAGGGCGCGCGTGTGACCAGGGTGCGCGTGTGACCAGGGCGCGTGTGTGACCATGGCGTGCGTGTGACCAGGGCGTGCGTGTGACCAGGGCGCGCGTGTGACCAGGGCGCGCGTCTTACCAGGGCGCGCGTGTGACCAAGGCGCGCGTGTGACCAAGGCGTGCGTGTGACCAGGGCGCGCGTGTGACCAGGGCGCGCGTGTGACCAAGGCGTGCGTGTGACCAAGGCGTGCGTGTGACCAATGTCAAACATTGTTTGTTTACATTGTGTAGGCTATAGTGGGTTTAGCCTTAGGGGGTACAACAAACTTAGGGTTTCCTACTTGTACCCAACTTTCTGCTAGTTCATCCATTCTCGTTCGTTCTTAGTTTCTAACATGGTATCGCGAGCCTAGGTCGTAACCTAGGACCGAATGATAGCCCACCGTTTCCGCTTTGTCGCGCCCTAGCGCGCCTCGCTTAGTCGCGCCCTCGAGCGCCTCACTCTCTCCCTCACTATCGCGCGCCCTAGCGCGCCTTTCGCGATCGGCCCCACCTAGCCAGCACGCCCTAGCGTGCCCCGTGCGACCGGCCCCGCTCACCTCGTCCGCCCTAGCGTGCGACCCGCGCAGCACCACGCGCGTCACCTGCACCGCGCGCCCTTGCGTGCCCCATTCGGCCCCGCGCAGTCGCTGCCCCGCGCGCCCTTGCGCGCCTCTTACGGACCGGCCCCGCCCCTTAGCGCGCGCCCTTGCGTGCCCCGTGCGACCGGCCCCCACCCACCCGCACGCCCTTGCGTGCCCCTCGCGTACCGGCCCCGCCCCGCTAGCCCGCCACCTCGTGCCCCGTGCGACCAGCCCAAACCCACCCGCGCGCCCTTGCGTGCCCCTCGTGTACCGGCCCCGCCCTCGCTAGCTCGCCACCCCGTGCCCCGTGCGGACCGGACCCGCCCTGCCGTGCACGCCCTCACGTGCCCCACCTCGAGTAGCCGCTGCCTAGCCGAGCCGAACCGCCCCACCGAACCGCGTCACCCGGCCCGAGCCGCGCCGCCCTACCGAACCGCGCCGCCCTACCGAGCCGCGCCGCCCTACCGAGCCGCGCCGCCCTACCGAGCCGCGCCACTGCTGCAGTCACTGCTACTGACACTGCTGCTGTTACTACTGCTACTACTGCTACTGCTCTTCCTGCAACTATGGCTAGCCCTGCTGTGCTCGCTTTCGATGCTGAGGGCCGCCCACTGAAGTTTGACACCTGGCTAGATGTCTTGCACCTGTTCCTCCAGCTCACTGCCAAGGAGGATATCTCGCTGTACGATCACGCGCTAGGCCACGCTGCTGCCCCTGCTGCTACTGCTGACAGTACTGCCCGCTCACAGTGGCAGACTCGTGACGCCCACGCTCGCTTCGCTATTCGCAACTCCCTGCCGGTAGATGAGCGCGAGCACTTTGGCCAGCACAAAACTGCGCAGGCACTGTACACTGCTGTAGTTGCACGCTACTCCTCACCTGCCTCTGCTGCGCTAGGTCGTCTCTCGCTCCCCTACCTGTTCCCAGACCTCTCCGCGTTCGCCACAGTCGCTGACCTCATCACGCACCTCCGCACTAGTGAGGCCCGCTTTCGTGCCGCTATGCCCGCTGAGTTTCTTGTCACGCACCCCCCCCCACTCTGGCTTACTCTCTACCACCTAGTCACCCGACTCCCTGACACTCTTCGTGCGGTCAGGGACCACTTCCTCGCTCGCTGCCCCACTGAGCTCACCGTTGACCTGCTCGAAAAGGAACTGCTTGCAGCTGAGACTAGCATAGTCGCTGTAGCTGCCTCTCGTGGCGACCCCCGCACCCCTTTCTTCGAGGGGTGTTCCCCTTCCCCCCTTCTCCCCTCTGTCGCCTCTGCTGCTGCTGTCGACCTAGTTGGTACTGAGCAGGTCGGGACTGCGTCCGCTCCGAGCTGGCGCCGCAGCGGCAAGGGCAAAGGGGGCAAGGGAGGTGGAGGTGACGGAGGGGGAGGCGGTGGTGGGGGCGGTGGCGGCGGTGGGGGCGGTGGCGGGGCTGGAGGGGCTAGTGGCGGCGGTGGGGGTGGTGGCGGCAGCGGCGGAGGAGGTGGCCGGGGTGGGGCACGTCCACGACCACGTCCAGGTCCACGTCCACGTCCACGTCCACGTCCACGTCCTCGTCCAGGTTCAGGTCCACGTCCACGTCCACATCCACGTCCACGACCACGTTCAGGTCCACGTCCACGTCCACGTCCACGTCCACGTCCACGTCCTCGTCCAGGTCCACGTCCACGTCCACGTCCACGTCCAGGGCCACGTCCACGTCCACGTCCACGTCCAGGTCCACGTCCACGTCCACGTCCACGTCCACGACCACGTCCACGTCCACGTCCACGTCCACCTCCACGTCCACGTCCACGTCCACGTCCACGTCCAGGTCCACGTCCACGTCCACGTCCAAGACTACGACCACGTCCATGCACGTCCATGTCCAGTCCACGTCAACGTCCACCTCCAGTTTACGTCCAAGACCACGTCCAAGTCCACGTCCATGTCCACGTCCACGTCCACGTCCAACTCCACGTCCACGTCATCGTCTACGTCCACGTCCACGTCCACGTCCACGTCCACGTCCAAGTCCACGTCCACGGCCACGTCCACGTCCACGGCCACGTCCACGTCCACGTACAGGTCCACGTCCACGTCCACGTCCACGTCCACGTCCACGTCCAACTCCACTTCCACGTCCACGTCCACGTTCACGACCACGTCCAAGTCCACGTCCACGTCCACGACCACGTCCACGTCCACGTCCACGTCTACGTCCACGTCCAAGTCCACGTCCACGTCCACGTCCAAGTCCACGTCCACGTCCACGTCCACGTCCACGTACACGTCCACGTCCACGTCCAAGTCCAAGTCCAAGTCCACGTCCACGACCACGTCCACGTCCCCGTCCAAGTCCACGTCCACGTCCACGTCCACGTCCACGTCCACGTCCAAGTCCACGTCCAAGTCCACGACCACGTCCACGACCACGTCCACGTCCACGTCCACGACCACCTCCAAGTCCACGACCACCTCCACGTCCACGTCCAAGTCCACGACCACGTCCGCGTTCACGTCCACGTCCACGACCAGGTCCACGTCCACGTCCACGTCCACGTCCATGTCCACGTCCACGTCCAGGTCCACGTCCAGGTCCACGTCCACTTCCACGTCACGACCACGTCCACGTCCACGACCACGTCCACGTCCACGACCACGTCCAGGTCCACGTCCACGTCCACGTCCACGTCCACGTCACCACGTCCACGTCCACGACCACGTCCACGACCACGTCCACGTCCACGTCCACGTCCACGACCACGTCCACGTCCACGACCACGTCCAGTTCCACGTCCACGTCCACGTCCACGTCCACGTCCACATCCACGTCACCACGTCCACGTCCACGACCACGTCCACGACCACGTCCACGTCCACGTCCACGTCCACGTCCACGTCCACGTCCACGTCCACGACCACGTCCAAGTCCACGTCCACGTCCACGTCCACGACCACGTCCACGTCCAGGTCCACGTCCACGTCCAAGTCCACGACCACGTCCACGACCACGTCCACGTCCACGTCGACGTCCACGTCCACGTCCACGACCACCTCCAAGTCCACGACCACCTCCACGTCCACGTCCAAGTCCACGACCACGTCTGCGTTCACGTCCACGTCCACGACCAGGTCCACGTCCACGTCCATGTCCACGTCCAGGTCCACGTCCACGTCCAGGTCCACGTCCACTTCCACGTCACGACCACGTCCACGTCCACGACCACGTCCAGGTCCACGTCCACGTCCACGACCACGTCCACGTCCACGACCACGTCCAGGTCCACGTCCACGTCCACGTCCATGTCCACGTCCACGTCACCACGTCCACGTCCACGACCACGTCCACGTCCACGTCCAAGTCCACGTCCACTCCACGTCAACGTCCACGTCCAGTCCACGTCAACGTCCATGGCGACCACGTCCACGTCCAGGTCCACGTCCACGTCCACGTCTAAGTTCAAGTCCAGGTCCACGTCCACGACCACGTCCACGACCACGTCCACGACCACGTCCACGACCACGTCCTCGTCCACGTCCACGACCACATCCACGTCCACGTCCACGTCCACGACCACCTCCACGACCACCTCCACGTCCACGTCCAAGTCCACAACCACGTCCACGACCACGTCCACGTCCACGTCCACGTCCACGTCCACGACCACGTCCACGTCCACGTCCACGACCACGTCCAGGTCCACGTCCACGTCCACGTCCAAGTCCACGTCCACGACCACGTCCACGACCACGTCTAAGTCCACGTCCACGTCCACGTCCACGACCACGTCCACGACCACGTCCACGTCCACGTCCACGTCCACGTCCACGTCCACGACCACGTCCACGTCCACGTCCACGACCACGTCCAGGTCCACGTCCACGACCACGTCCAGGTCCACGTCCACGTCCACGTCCAAGTCCACGTCCACGACCACGTCCACGACCACGTCCAAGTCCACGTCCACGTCCACGTCCACGACCACGTCCACGTCCACGTCCACGTCCACGACCACGTCTAAGTCCACGTCCACGTCCACGTCCACGTGCAGGTCAACGTGCAGGTCCACGTCCACGTCCACGTCCAAGTCCACGTCCACGTCCACGACCACGTCCACGTCCACGTCCACGACCACGTCCAAGTCCACGTCCACGTCCACGTCCACGACCACGTCCACGTCCACGTCCACGTCCACGTCCACGACCACGTCCACGTCCACGACCACGTCCACGTCCACGACCACGTCCAGATCCACGTCCACGTCCACGTCCACGACCACGTCCAGGTCCACGTCCACGTCCACGACCACGTCCACGTCCACGACCACGTCCACGTCCACGTCCACGTCCACGTCACCAGGTCCACGTCCAGGACCACGTCCACGTCCACGTCCACGTCCACGACCACGTCCAGGTCCACGTCCACGTCGACGTCCACGTCCAGGTCCAGGTCCACGTCCACGTCCACGTCCAGGTCCAGGTCCACGTCCACGTCCACGTCCAAGTCCAGGTCCAAGTCCACGTCCACGACCACGTCCACGTCCACGTCCACGTCCACGACCACCTCCAAGTCCACCTCCACGTCCACGTCCACGTCCACGACCACGTCCACGTCCACGTCCAAGTCCACGTCCACGTCCACGTCCACGACCACATCCACGTCCACGTCCACGTCCAACTCCACGTCCACGTCCAAGACCACGTCCACGTCCCACTCCACGTCCACGTCCAGTCCACGTCAACGTCCACGTCAAGTTTACGTCCAAGTCCACGTCCAAGTCTACGTCCACGTCCACGTCCACGTCCAACTCCACTTCCACGTCCAAGACTACGACCACGTCCACGTCCACAACCACCTCCAGTCCACGTCCAAGTCCACGTTCACGTCAGACCACGTCCACGTCCAAGTCCAAGTCCACGTCCACGTCCACGACCACGTCCACGACCACGTCCAAGTCCACGTCCACGTCCACGTCCACGACCACGTCCACGTCCACGTCCACGTCCACGTGCACGTCCACGTCCACGTCCACGACCACGTCCACGACCACGTCCACGACCACGTCCAAGTCCACGTCCACGTCCACGACCACGTCCACGACCACGTCCACGACCACGACCACGTCCACGACCACGTCCACGTCCAGGTCCACGTCCACGTCCACGTCCACGTCCACGTCCACGTCCACGTCCAAGTCCAAGTCCAAGTCCAAGTCCAAGTCCAAGTCCAAGTCCACGTCCACGTCCACGTCCAAGTCCACGTCCACGTCCAAGTCCACGTCCACGTCCACGTCCACGTCCAAGTCCACGTCCACGTCCACGTCCACGTCCACGACCATGTCCACGTCCACGTCCACGTCCACGTCCGCGTCCACGTCCACGACCACCTCCAAGTCCACGACCACCTCCACGTCCACGTCCAAGTCTACGACCACGTCCACGTCCAAGTCTACGACCACGTCCACGTCCACGTCCACGTCCACGACCAGGTCCACGTCCACGACCACGTCCACGACCACGTCCACGTCCACGTCCACGTCCACGTCCACGACCACGTCCAGGTCCACGTCGACGTCGACGTCCACGTCCAGGTCCAGGTCCACGTCCACGTCCAGGTCCAGGTCCACGTCCACGTCCACGTCCACGTCCAAGTCCAGGTCCAAGTCCACGTCCACGTCCACGACCACGTCCACGTCCACGTCCACGTCCACGACCACCTCCAAGTCCACCTCCACGTCCACGTCCACGTCCACGACCACGTCCACGTCCACGTCCAAGTCCACGTCCACGTCCACGTCCACGACCACATCCACGTCCACGTCCACGTCCAACTCCACGTCCACGTCCAAGAACACGTCCACGTCCAACTCCACGTCCACGTCCAGTCCACGTCAACGTCCACGTCAAGTTTACGTCCAAGTCCACGTCCAAGTCTACGTCCACGTCCACGTCCACGTCCAACTCCACTTCCACGTCCAAGACTACGACCACGTCCACGTCCACAACCACCTCCAGTCCACGTCCAAGTCCACGTTCACGTCAGACCACGTCCACGTCCAAGTCCAAGTCCACGTCCACGTCCACGACCACGTCCACGACCACGTCCAAGTCCACGTCCACGTCCACGACCACGTCCACATCCATGTCCACGACCACGTCCACGTCCACGTGCACGTCCACGACCACGTCCACGACCACGTCCAAGTCCACGTCCACGTCCACGACCAAGTCCACGACCACGTCCACGACCACGTCCAAGTCCACGTCCACGACCACGTCCACGTCCACGACCACGTCCACGTCCACGTCCATGTCCACGACCACGTCCAAGTCCACGTCCACGTCCACGTCCACGTCCACGTCCAAGTCCACGTCCACGTCCACGTCCAAGTCCAAGTCCAAGTCCAAGTCCACGTCCACGTCCACGACCACGTCCACGTCCTCTTCCAAGTCCACGTCCACGTCCACGTCCACGTCCAAGTCCACGTCCACGTCCACGTCCACGTCCACGACCATGTCCACGTCCACGTCCACGTCCACGTCCACGTCCACGACCACCTCCAAGTCCACGACCACCTCCACGTCCACGTCCAAGTCTACGACCACGACCACCTCCACGACCACGTCCACGTCCACGTCCACGTCCACGTCCACGTCCAGGTCCACGTCCACGTCCATGTCCACGTTCACGACCACGTCCACGTCCACGACCACGACCACGTCCACGTCCACGACCACGTCCACGTCCACGTCCACGTCCACGTCCAAGTCCACGTCCACGTCCACGTCCACGTCCAAGTCCAAGTCCAAGTCCACGTCCACGTCCACGACCACGTCCACGTCCACGTCCACGTCCACGTCCACGACCACCTCCAAGTCCACGTCCACGTCCACGTCCACGTCCAGGTCCACGTCCACGACCACGTCCACGTCCACGACCACGTCCACATCCACGACCACGTCCAGGTCCACGTCCACGTCCACTTCCACGTCCACGTCACCACGTCCACGTCCACGACCACGTCCACGACCACGTCCAGGTCCACGTCCACGTCCACGACCACGTCCAGGTCCACGTCCACGTCCACGTCCAGGTCCACGTCCACGTCCAGGTCCACGTCTACGTCCACGTCCACGTCCATGTCCACGTCCAGGTCCACGTCCACGTCCACGTCCAGGTCCACGTCCACGTCCACGACCACGTCCACGTCCACGTCCACGACCACGACCACGTCCACGATCACGTCCACGTCCAGTCCACGTCCACGTCCAAGTCCACGTCCACGACCACGTCCATGACCACGTCCACGTCACGTCCACGTCTACGTCCACGTCCAAGTCCACGTCCAGTCCACGTCAACGTCCACGTCCAGTCCACGTCCAAGTCCACGGCGACCACGTCCACGTCCAGGTCCACGTCCACGTCCACGTCTAAGTCCAAGTCCACGTCCACGTCCACGACCACCTCCACGACCACGTCCACGACCGTCCACGTCCACAGTCCACGTCTACGTCCACGACCACCTCCCGACCACCTCCACGTCCACGTTCAAGTCCACGACCGCGTCCACGTCCACGTCCACGACCACGTCCCACGTCCACGTCGACGTCCACGACCACGTCCAAGTCCACGTCCAAGTCCACGTCACCACGTCCACGTCCACGACCCATCCACGACCACGTCCATACGTCCACGTTCACGTCCACGTCCACGTCCACGTCCACGACCACCTCCACGTCCAGTCCACGACCACGTCCACGTCTACTCCACGTCCACGTCCACGACCAGGTCCACGTCCCCGTCCACGTCCACGTCCACGTCCAGGTCCACGTCCACGTCCACGTCCAGGTCCA